TGCAGCCTGTAGTCTGTCAGAGTCCAAGGATTACAAAAAGCAGCGTGCACGTGTCTTTGCTTGGGGTTTCTGCTTCGTCTCAGCGATCGCTCACACTGGAGTGATTTGTACCTGCAGGCAAATGTGCACATTTCAAAGCAAGGGGTTCAGACACAGGTAGAAAAAAAGTTGTATTTAAAGAGACTGGCCAGAGGCTAATTTCCTTTGAATCACATGTGCAAAAAAGTAATCTGACCTCGGCTGAAATTTGTTTTGGGTTTCCACGGCTGGATTTTTAAGTAAATCAAGTGTTTTTAAAGAGCAAGGTAAAAACAGAAGTCGGTTTTTGGTTTTGGCGCTAACCAGCTGCTTACGTCTCACAAGGGACTTCCCTCAGACAGCTAGCGTAAACAATCCGCGGCTCTGTTTCTCAATGTTGGCACAATAGCAGATGGCAACATTTCGTCAGTGTGATGTAGCTTCTGAAACCTCTGCTAGTCGATCAGGTCTTCTTTCTCTGGAATGTGACGAGGAGAATGGATGTCAGAGAGCTGGAAGGATTCTTCTAGGTCACCCAGCCGAAGGATGGTGAACATCTTCAGAACCAAAATCTGTACGATCTGTATGAGCCATTTGAGGTGGCCCAGGCAATCTGGACGCCATCCTGGTTCACGTCCAACCAGGAGGACACCTAAAGGTAGACCCAGGGCACGCTGGAGGGACTTTGTCTCTCGGCTGGCCAGGGAACGCCTTGGGATTCCCCCAGAGGAGCTGGCCAAGGGGCTGGGGAGAGGGAAGTCTGGGCCTCCCTGCTGGCTGCCCCTGTGACCCAACCCCGAATAAGCAGAGGAAAATGGATGGATGGAATCTGTACGATTTATTTACTTTTATTGTGCGCTTGCTTTATTTCTGTGCTAAAAGACGAGCTAACACGGCATTCAGAGCCTCAGCTGCACCGGGCTGTCCCAGAATAATAACGGATAACTTACCAGAATGATCCGTAGCCCTGCAGTCACGCCAGCTATGCTAGCTGGGGTTGTTGTTTCGGTAGTAATCCACAAAGGTATGGAGTTCAGTCGAACTCAAAGGGATATGTTGTTGAAATATGTGGATCATTTCTGTAGATCGAACCTCTGTGTGTGTCGTGGCTTTCCCCAATGACTTTCTCATCCTTACCAGAGCTAACACGGTTAGCTGTGCTGCTGCAGTCACAGACATGTGGATCTTGCCACGAGGCCAGAATGAGCGGTTCTATCGGCCCCAGATGGATTTAAAGTTGGAATATTACTTTTTTTAAATGCAATCTCAGAGGGAATAGCCCTGACCAGCTCCTGTAGTCTGAATCAGCTTTGCTCTAAATCAGTACATTTACATGCGTGTCAGAAAACCGAAGTATTTCCCTAAAATGGGTATTCAATTCTGGTCTTGGAGGGCCAGTATGCAGCACATTTTAGAGGCTCTTTGCTCCAACACACTTGATTCAGCGGTGGAATCACCTGTGCAGCAGCTCATCAGGCTCTGCAGAAGCCTGTTCATCACCTGCTGATTGAAATCAGGTTTGTTGAAACAGAGTTAAGGCTAAAACGTGCTGGATACCGGCCTTCCAGGCCTGGAACTGAATTCCCCTGCCCTAAAGACACGCATCGTTTTTTTAAATGCATGTAAACACGTTAGTCTGGCTGACAGTGGACCGGTTCTAATCGAGCTGAATCGAGCTTGGGTATAAACGAGTCAGTCGAACTGAACTGGCTGAACGCTCGCACTCCGGAATAGGGCTGAACGAAAATAATTTTTGGAAAATAATCTAATTGCGATTTTTTTCTTCAATATTGCAATTGCGATTTAATTCAAAATTATTTTCTCAAGGGGCTTTTCTCATTTTTTAACTAACGGAAGCAAAAAAAAAAAGATCTATGTAACTTGTACTGAATATAAACAAGTTTCAGCCATTGTGCATATCCTGTTTCAGTTTTGTCTGCTTTACTCCCGTCAGCCTTTGTTTACTGCTTGTGTTGCTATAAGCCAGGGGTCGGCTCTTCCATCCATCTGATGCGGCTCTCTGTGCTTGTAAAATAATGAATGGTTGTTTGAATAAAATGCTTTATATTTTACTGCATAAATTTTACATCTGAATGCTAATTCTAAATGTAAAGATTGTCTGCGTAAACCTGAACAGGTCCAACCCGGTCTTACTGTGAGACCAGGTTGACGCGTCACGCTTGTGCGTAATCATAGGCGCTTTCTGAGCTGAAGAGGATGTGAGATTCTGGGACTCTCCTCAGACGGCTCCTGGATGTGTCGCCACATTGGAGACAGGAACAAGCGCTATTCAGCCAAAGTTTCATAATCAGGGAACATTTTCTAAGTGACAAGCCTCTCTGAGAGACCGGGTTTGGAAAACGCTCGCTTCAGTCGGAGGAATCTTCCCGCATGCGCTCTGGTTCTGCGAGGCGTTTCAAGCGCCTCTCCACATCTTCAGCTCGCTGTGCACCTTACATACGCGCTGACGGCGAGCTGCGCTGAGAAGTGTCCAGCTCAGATCTTCAGAAGGAAATCTTTTCTTGAGCGATTTAGCTACATCTGCGATGTGCGTAACGAATAAAATGTCAGTTCGTATGCATGCGTCGGGGTAATTCTTTCTATTCTTTCTCCCTCAAAATAAACGGTCAAATACGGGAACTATCCGGTCAACACAAGCCCTGCTTTTAACTGTTCTGTTTTCTTGTGAAAATTGTTGCAAAGAGATATAATTTAACTTGATTAACACCAGAGCCAGGCGCACTGCGCCGTTATCTCCGTCACTGTAAATGAGGGAAAAACAAAATGATCGGATCATTTTCTGACCTTCCCCACCTACAAAGTTTAATTACAACAATCAAACGTGACAGAGCCTGGATTTGTATTCTGAACAGTCTAAACATGTTTTAAAAGAAACGTATGACAAAAGTGGCACCTGCTCAGTAAAACCACCAACAGGGTGAAAAATATCAAAATATTGTCGGCAGAGACGGGCTACAACTTCTGGATCCACTTTATATAAATCGTTTTATTGATTATCTTCTTATGAAAGATAACTTTGACGTACACGAGCGACCGGTACTGGCTGCTGTCACCTGTTGTGGTTGGTTAAAGCAGCTCTCAGATGTCTGAGGGTAGGCCCCGCCCACAACGCCGCGGCTGCTGTGGCTCCCAGTGTTTTCTTTACTGTGGGAAACGGGTAATAATGGCTCTTTGATGGGAACAGGTTGCAGACCCCTGCTATAAGCTAACCGGAAGAATGCTGACAAGAAAAGGGGCATTACGCCACCTACTGTACCGGAGTGGATGGAACTTTATTTGAGAGGCCGGTTTTCTAATGTGCATGTAAACTAGGATAAAGACTATTACAACAGGATCGACTTTGATGCAACTGCACTGAATGAGCTCTGCAGATCTGGAGATATGAAGTGTTCTCACTGACTACGTTTACATGCAGCCAATATCCGGGTTATGATCGGGTTAAGGTCGGGATTTGGGTTTCTGAGTTGATCAGAATAACCCGTTTACAAGCATAAATTGAAAGAGTTACCTCTAACTTGCATAACCCGATTTAACTGCGGACGTTGGGGTTGCGTCAGGACGTATGGACTACGTCCAGACGCAATATGCGTCATTTCCGGTTCTTCGTGTTCCGGTATCCGTGAAAACAACAACATGTTTCCCAGTTAGGAAGAGATAGCGACCGCGTTTGTTTGCGCTTTAGTTTCCTCGTCACTCAAAGTGTGGTGCTGTGCCGCGACTCGCCATTTTGCCCCCAACTTGTTGTTTACTTCCGGTGTTCTGGCGCATACAAGACGTCTCGCTACTCAAAAGACCAAGATTCCTTGCGAACAGAGCATGCGCAGAACACACGCTTTGATGGGGATATCCCGATATGCGTTTACACAACCAAACATTCGGGTTAGAAAAGGGTTACCCCAGGTGTGGTAACCGGGTTTTTAAAAACCCGGTTATGAGCATATCTGGGTTTTTGGCGGTGTTTACATGGACCTGCGGAACGGGTTATTGTGAATATTCGGGTTTTAAAAGGGTTACTGGCTGCATGTAAACGCACTGACTGCGATCCTCCTCACAAAGTCACCTTTTAGGAGAGAATTCTCTCCTAAAAGGGGGGAGAGGTGGGGGGGGGGGGGGGGGGGGTCCTTCACAGCAGCGACTCAGCCTTTTAATTTAACACCACCTCCCTGTGGAATAGCTGTGACTTGTCCCACTGGTAGGTTCCTGTGGAGCTCAGGCTGGGTGGTCCTCAGAGGTCCTGGCTCCTGTCTGTCCACACGCTGAGAGACAATGGGCACCATGTCCTCTGCCCCCCCTCCTCCCTGCCCTTTCTCCAGCTCAGGGGTCTGCAACCTGCAGCTCTTAGGATCTTTCACTAAAAACTTCGGTTTACAAATTTTAAGTATAGATATTTTTTAAATGCCCGTTTAAGCCGATTTTCAATGGGTTTGTGGAATAATTTCATGTAATTTTCTTGACAGGACTTTATTTTATTTATTTATTCTTTATTTAACCAGGAAGGTCCCACTGAGACCGTTTTCATCATTTTATGCAAATATAAACATATTTGCATGTGTTAGTTTTAAAACCTAATAACATGGGACTTGTGCTTAAAAAAATACTGCTAATCTTCTATAGTAAATATTTATGCAAGAGAAAAAAAATCCAAGATTTGACTTTAATCTCAGAATTATTTTGTTATTCTTAAAATTCTGAGGGAAAAAAAATATATATATATTTTTTGGTCATTGGCCCAAATCCTCTTCCGTAGATTTTATGCAAGATAATACCAAAGGTCTTATTTTTTACAAAAGCTCCTGTAACAGCTATGGCTCTAACATGAACCAGGACTGTAAAGGTTGCAGACCCCAGGCCACTCTTTCACAGTAAAAGCCCCGCTCTCCCAGCGTGTTGATCTGAGGTTATCTGATAAATTAATAAATATAATTAAATACAATTGTAATTGAATAAAGTGTTAAACCTACCAGATAATAAACATAGCAGCAGCGAGTTTCTCAGCCATTTACATCCAACCGTGCTCCATCTGCTCCAGTTTTCCATCATGCTTTTATTTTCTTAATTTGGCAGAAGTTGGTAGTCAAAAAGCCCCAGTTTCTCTCTAAATACGTCAAAAATGTGTCTTCTGGGATGAAGTTGATCGTTAACGAGGCAGCAGCGAGTTCCGCGCGCCCCTCCGGAACCTAAAGAAGCGGAGCTCGGCGCTTGTTTTCCCCCGACATGTGAGCTTCTTTTCGGTTAGCACACCTCCACTGTCTGCCGCTGAGCTTTTATATAGCTCCCCTCTCCACCTCCAGCTTGCTCAAATTACTCCGTTTACACCGGATGTAAAGTCAGACGCAAAGCGGAAGTCCACCTCTGATTTCACTTTCAAAATAAAACAAAAATAAACTAATAGCCAAATTTGCTGTTTAACCAATATTTTTTCAGTTTAATTATGAATATGTGGTATTATTTATTACATGTCATTATCTAAAAGGTTTTTTGGGATTTTCAACTGAAAATTACACGCAAATTGGAATTTCAATATTTTTCACACTGATTTTTTAACCTAATTTATCTTTATAGTCTACTTCAATTTTTATAGCTGGATAATAACTACAAAAAAAACCTCAACATCTGGAAAACCATTTATTCTTCTTCTTCTTCTTCTTATTATTATTATTGTTATTATTATTATTATTATTATTATTATTATTAATTTATGTATTTTTATTATGACTATTGTTATTATTATTTTTTTTTGAGAGCTTTATTTTTTATTTGAAGGGGACTTGAATCTTATCCCGGTTTGGCACTTCAGCTTCTGCACTAGAGACATTTTTTCAGTGATTTAAGTATTTTGGTTCTCCCTGTGGTAATAATAAACCTATGGTTGAACAGACTGAGGGATTCTGAGACGTTACTGCTCTCCATACCTTACATTTATGTGTCATACATCTGTCCCTGTAGAACTTGCCCCGTTTTGTGCTTTTGTTTTGAAGGCAGCCAGAGATTTCCTGTGTTACGCTGGTAACGCTTTCCGGCTTGATTCAGCGTACCTGCACGTGTCATCTTCACGACCTCTGTGTGGAGAACTCAGGCTGTGATGACCTGTGGGGCTAATGAAGCAACCAACAACAAAACAAGGAGTTCAGAGAATGTTACAATGCTCCACCATGTCATTAACAGTCCTACGGGACACCATTATCATGTCACTACTCTTCAAGGGTCAACTCAATGAAGCGTTACTGGACCAGGACCACAAAATCTCATCCTCACTGGTCAAATTTGATAAAAACATAAAGGGCTCCTACCTTTAACCACATGTTAGGGTCTAAAACCCCCCACAAACCTCCCAGGTGCTGAAAAGAACCCCCTTCTGCTTCGTCTAGGGTGACTTAATTACTTCATGAAACATATAATTTAAACTCTTTTACAATTCAAACACAAGTAACATGTCATTAGCAAGGATTTTATGTAAAAAGTCATTAGAGTTTGGACCTTAATTATCTAATTTAAAGTTTGATGTTTCATCGGAAATTCCCATTAATGTAGCTTCTGGTCACATGTTTCCCTGTAGTTCACAATAAATAGAAAATTTCAAAAATGGATTTTCTTCTTCAAAACTGGAGCAAAAATCCTGTAATTAAAATGTTTACAAGTGAAACAGAGGGTGGCAAAAGGGTGAGGATAATTTAGTTCTCGGAAATGCCACCCACATGGAGCAGCAATGATTTGTAATGCCTTCCAGATGTTTCTTTTAAGTTGTAACGAAGTGCTGAGTGAGACATGTAAGAACAAGCAGGTAGAAAACTGCAGAGTCTTTTCTGGAAATGCAAGAAAAAAACATTTCCTCCCAAATGCTGCAGTTTTTGTTCATCATCATCAATTAAACATACAGGAATGAATAAAAGGAGAAAAAACAAGGTAACACAGGTTCATTGTGAATTGGGGATAGCAAATTATAATAACTAAATCTTTTGGAATAATGTTCTATGATAAACTAGACAAGCACCAAAGTAGTTTTTGGGTAAAAATAAAAGACTATAAGGCACCTTATAAACACTGTCAAGCACGGTGGCAGAAGGGTAATAATCTGGGCTTATTATTTCAGAAACCCAAAGTGGAGATACTGCTGTTTTGTCCAGAATAGAGTCAAATGTTTGTCATAATGACTTACAAACGTACAGTTATGATCTCATTTTGCGTCATTGTTAGCATAGTGTTAGCTTAATATTTGACTGTTTATTCATTTTTTTGTCATAACAATATTGTTTATTTATATGAAGGAAGGGGGGTTTAAAAATGATACTGGAGGGAGCCACAAGGAAACACTTCAACTCCCTGGTTGCATTCAGGTGTCAAGCTGCTATTTACGCACGGTTAGCTCTCGCCGATGAGTTGATTTGATTTATTTTTTTGAACGGGACAGTGAAAGTATGAAGAAATGTCGTAAATATGCCGAATTTAGCAAGATGCTAATTTCCATCTAGGGTCCCATGAAACAAACAAAACACAAGCCCACTTTTGCTCTTCTGATTGTTAAGGTGGGCGCCCACTGTCTGACTTTTGGACCATTTTGAACAGATTTTCCTCTCGGGCGAGAATCTTTGAAGTCGGAACAAATTTTCCATTGTGTGGCTCGTAAATGGTAAATGGCCTGCATTTTTTAAGCCCCCTTCTCAGGGTACTACAACCCCCAAGGTGCTTCACAACACAATCAGTCATTCACCCATTCACACACACATTCACACGCTGGTGATGATGAGCTACGATGTAGCCACAGCTGCCCTGGGGCACATTAATGGAAGCGAGGCTGCCGAACACAGGCGCTACCGGTCCCTCCGACCACCACAATTGGATTATGTGTCTTGCTCAAGGACACAACAGCAGCATCCTTTGGCGGGAGCCGGGATCAAACCTACAACCTTCTGGTTACTGGACAACCCGCTCTACCTCCTGAGCTACTGTTGCCCTGTGTAGTATACAGGGTCAAGTCAAGTCTACATTTACTTCTATAGCATGTTTCAACAGCTGTTGCCCCAAAGTGCTCCACACAAGCAAAGTGATATGCCTTAGAAGTGATAAAAATGACCAAAAAACTACAGTACTGGATGCTAAAACTACAAGCAGATAAGGCAAAGATACATAAAAAAATATAAGTTACACAAGCCTGAAGGACAACGTACATCAAAAACAGCACAACAGTCTCCGAATCTTCTGCGTTTTCGGACTAGAAGGTTCAACATGTTGTCTAAAAAATTATATTTTTTAACATATTTTCAGGTCCAACGTGTTGCTACCATGTGTAGGCTACAGTGTGAGCAGTCAGGTCGAGTCAGAGCATCGTGTCGTACAGCGTGAGAACATGACTCGTTAACTTTGCTTTGCGAGGAAGTCGTGCAGTTTGAGATGGAGCTGAACGCTATAAATGAAAAAGTCACAGTGTACGTCCAGGTTTAGGAGGTTCACAGATTGGTGGGAGTGGTCAAATGTAATTCCACCCATGGTGACTCCGCCCCCAAATTACATATTCCAAGACAAAAATGACCACTTTGCAAACCATGACTTGCTCCTGAGTAAAATTCAGTCTTCTACATTTGTGTGACAGCTGGACAAAATAAAACAGACAAACCGGAAAACTTTTAATAGATTGGCATTAAGAGAGGAAAGCACCGATCATCTGTATGAAGGTGCTGGAAAAGCGTTACATACCATAAGGGAAAAATCTGCACACTTCTGTCTGCAAAAAATGATTATTTCATGATCAAGTTTTTGGATATTCGTCAGGAGTGACTCATCATGAAACACCCCTGATGGTCAATCACTAGATTGGCATTAGAAAATAAATCAAGGCATTGAAATGATGCGTAGAGTTTAAAAGTCACATACGGTTGTCCATCTCTGGTTGTTCTGACCAAATGTTTGGATTTCAGAATTAAAAGAAGGTATGCTTGCTTTTCTGTATGAAAAATGTATAATGTCAGTCGACCTTTGTTTGGTCCTACAAATTGGATGGCACACACTGTAATTATTCATATTACAGAGATGGCCAACCTTCTTGCCCACCTCTAATTAGAAGATAATCACTTCCTTTGTGCTGTACAGCGGAAGATCCTTTTCCTGAAAGAGCAACAGGAAGTGCCACATGGACTCCAGCTTTCAAGCGAAACCACGCTGCATTGCCTTCTGATCCCAGCAAGAGCCCGAAAACATCTGGAGAAATGCCTGATGGCATAGAATTCCAACTACAGTCACACAAAAATCGCAAATGTAGGTAAGGATGTAATCAAAACGAGTGTCCAAGGAGATCAGATTTCTAGTTTTATTCCTTGTTTATACCTCTACTTGGGTTTTTTTGCATTAAATTGCTGGTGTGCTGCAGATCTGCGTCTTGGTCGCTGCTTGATTGGTGTATCAAAAACAGCCTCTTCTTTGTATAATCAATAAAGTGATTACTAACTCCACTGATTTACATTTTAGTATTGATTTACATTTCTGTTTTTATAGTGTCTTTGACAGGATGATTGAGACGTGAACGTTAGGATTTTCTACATCGATTTACCTTACAGGGCTATAAACCAATTTTGCCTCTATTCTGTCAGCGTGTAGCTCGTGAGGTGATTCACTGATACCAGACAGGGTTCTTTCATTTTCTGCTTTTCGCATCATCCTTTTGCATCTCACATAGGGAGGGCTGCATCCATTTATTCACTTAAAGGGTAATTCACGTAAAACTTACACATAGTACAACAGGTACTCATAGAGTTAGGTTTTTTTTATTTGTTTAAGGACATGAAACGCAATCTTGTCGGGTCTACATTGAAGTGCCCTGCACTGTGCTCTCTCTCCTCTGCTGAGCTCATGAGGATCCTGCTTCCTGGGGGTGGACCCATGACTCGTCATTGGAATCGACTCCTCCTGGGTGGTGCTCCGGCTCGTTGGCCCTGGACGTCCGTGGTTCCGGCATGGCTGCTGGGACCCCTCGCTCGCTGGGATTACCTGCCTACTGCTCTTCCCTTTTGCTGGATTACGATAAGTGCTGTTACAAAGATCAATTTACTATTTGGAATAATTCCCTGCTCATGGCTACGTACAAGCTTTGCTCCTGCTTGACATTGTTGCCCGTGAAGATATAAAGTTGCTGTTGCTTCAATTATGGCTTCCATGGGGAATATCTAATAACCTGCTGACTTGTGTGCTTCCCGAGGAGTATACGAGACTGTTCTTCGGCGTGGGGTTCGTACCTCACCACGGTTGGCTATTCCAGTGGGATCGCACCCTGCTCGGTTGTCAAGATCCTTCATAACTCTGGTTTGTTCAACGACCAAGTGGTCTCTTGGTGGACCACCTTGACCTTGAAAAGGGGTGTGTGTAGCGTTATGAATATGCCATTTCTGCCCTTAACATCTGCCCTTTGACACAGTGACAGTGTGCATAAATTGCCAAGGTCGTGCGCTTGCTTCTGATGTTTACATTCTAGCAAAGAAGACAGAAGAAGGACGAAGAATGCTTTTCATTAGTTAATCAAAGAACTTTATTTCTAATAAAGCTAATCAAAATAACTGTTGGTCAATAATAATCAGGTGACTGATATGTGAAATCACAATGTTATGATTTATGTGTTTAATGAATAACAAGACTTCGGACTAACTGAGCTAGACATTCTGATCCACATAAGGTAAACACATGACACATTGTTCACTCATCCAATCAGAACTTCCTTTCTGATGCGTGGCAGAGCTCTGTGGTGTTTAGTTAATCTGTCCACGCCGATTGGCTAAGATTCATAAACAACTAAGCTTAATAAAACAGAACAACACCATTTTTATTCAGTTCCACCGCAAGTTTCAACGTAGTTCCAACGTGAGTTCAACCAGCTCTCAAATCCATCTGATGTCCATCATCGCTAAGTGAAGTACAGACTGGCCAGCTGTATTTTCTACTTTTAAGCTGAGAACTGTCAAGCTGGAAAACTCTGTCGTTTTATCAACAAGACGACGGTTCCTTCAGAATAAAAGCTGAACTCTATGACCCAATAAAGGGGGGTCTCTACGTGACGCTGAAATCTGCCGTTGTACCGGAAGACTATCCATAGACTGGTTTGTCGTGCTGCCGACGCTGTTTCACCAGTTCCAGCACCAAGGAGGGTCGAGGACCTGGCATCCGGATCTAACACTGGGGGTCTCCACATGGTACGTAGATCGGCATAGATTGCGTCTCATGTCTTCCTCCTGAAATCCATCGTTGGTCAGTTAGGGCAACAACACCTCGCACTCAGATTCGCCTCCACCAGATGGAGGTTCTGAACTGACACACACACACCAACACTTCAGCATTACATCCATCTGCATCCATCATTAGAGAGTTAGTCCTGGTGATTGTTTCGAATAATTATAAAATAAATATTCTTAAACATCCCATCCCTCTCTCTTCTTGTCTCTAATTCCATACAAGGTGTTTGAATAAAATTCCCTGTGGTAAAAACAACCTCTTTTGATTATAAGGGCCCGGTCCAAAGATTAATGATCCAGCTCAGGTTTAGATCAGTGATATCTCTGGACCTTAATAAAAGTGTAAGAATATACCAACTGTATTCCGCTACAATACCGTGCCGTACCATACCATACCATACCATACCATACCATGCCATGCCATGCCATGCCATGCCATAACATACCGTACTGTACCGCACCATACCATACCATACCATGCCATGCCATGCCATGCCATGCCACAACATACCGTACCGCACCATACCATACCATACCATGCCATGCCATGCCATAACATACCGTACCGTACCGCACCATACCATACCATACCATACCATACCATGCCATAACATACCATACCGTACCGCACCATACCATACCATACCATACCATGCCATGCCATGCCATGCCACAACATACCGTACCGCACCATACCATACCATACCATGCCATGCCATGCCATAACATACCGTACCGTACCGCACCATACCATACCATACCATACCATGCCATAACATACCATACCGTACCGCACCATACCATACCATACCATACCATGCCATGCCATGCCATGCCATGCCATGCCATAACATACCGTACCCTACCGTACCGTACCGCACCATACCATACCATACCATACCATGCCATGCCATGCCATAACATACCGTACCGTATCGCACCATACCATACCATACCATTACATGCCATACCATACCATACCATACCATGCCAAATGTAATTATAGAGCACATTTAAAAACAGCCTGTCAGCCAACTAAAGTGCTTGAACACAGAAAAGATTATTGAAACCAGTAGTGAAATCAAGGTTTTCGGTGACAAACAGACTTTCTTTGACTGCAGTTGTGGGAAACAGAGAGCCAAAAGTTTACCTCATTAAAGTCCCAGTAGTCATCACACACTGGTGAAATAACATCTCTGCATTTGACCCATCCCAGTGGGAGTGGGGAACTGCAGTAGTGGCTGCGCTCGGCAACTATTTGGTGGTTTAACCCCCCAATCCAACCCCTTAAAGCTGAATGTCAAACAGGGAGGCATTCGTTCCCATTGTTAAAGTCTTTCGTATGACCCAACCAGGATTTGAACCCCGATGTCTCAGTCTCAGGGTGGACACTCTACCACTAGGCCACTGAAAAGGTACTTATGGAATACTCTAAGATAAACATGGTCAGATCCAGGAATCCTCATTTGGACATAGATGGTGCAACATTTAGGGTCTTGAGTTAAATGGTAAAATGGCAAATGGCCTGTATTTGTATGGCACCTTCTTAGAGTTCTACAACCCCCCAGGGCGCTTCAGAACACATTCAGTCATTCACCCATTCACACGCTGGTGGGGATGAGCTATGATGTAACCACAGCTGCATGGAAGCAAGACTGATGAATACTGGCGCCACCGGTCTCTCCGACCATCACCAGCTGGCGAGGTGGGTTAAGAGTCTTGCCCAAGGACACAACAGCGGCATTATCCTTTCGGAGCTGGGATCGAACCTGCAACCTTCCGAGTAGGCAAGCATCTGTAACATGAAGGATAGGGACTGTGATGGCTGGAAATAGTGACCATTGGACTAAGGCTTCATTTTATTGTTAAAAACTGTATTTAAAATCAGCTGATTAGTTTAACATGTAGGGGGTTAGGGTTAGCATTGGTGTAAGAGTCAAAGTTAGGGTTACACAACATCCTCAAAGCCGTTTTAGCGAACCTATGAACAAGCTGTTGTCCGTGATTTCAAATGTTTTTTTTTTTTGTGACTCTGGTAGTTTGTCCTAAAGTTGAGGTGGTAGCAGCCGGCTGTTTCTCCTCTTCTGATATTATTGAGCAGAAAACCTCTCACACTAGTGGTGTTCTGTTGCTAAATACGCAAGTGAGTGATGAATGGAGGACCCAGGGAAACGCAGAAGTACAATGGTTTGGCAAAACCGACAACCGGATGGTCCATTGGTTTCTTTCGGTCCGAAACGTGCAAATGCGAGAGAACCACTTTTTTTTAAACTTTGAATCACCACAATATTTTCATAGCTATACTATGTTAGATTGTTAAAATGCATGAAAAAATGTTTTAAGCTAATTAGTTTTCCAAATTCGCCATTGCAGCTTTAGGAAAAGAACCTGCTTAATCACACGTTTGACCTTTTTGCCATTTAATTTAACGAGGATCTAGCTTTCCTTGAACTTTTCCTGTTGATTTTTGCTTTGTTTTAAACATTTGCACAATGGTACATCCTGAACATTCTCTATTTTGATAAATTGAGACCATAAATGTTAACACAAAAGCACCAGAGACGAGCTGAACGAGTCGATGTGATGCTTTAATCATGAATCTAGGACCATATATATATATATACATATAAAAAACACTGTATAAATACTCTAAGTATCCTACTTCCTTCTGTAAACTCAATAACAAATAAAATAGTACTTGTTTTTTTTAAAAAGCCACGATTACATTTAATAGGCTGTACAAAAATAAATAAAGTTACATATTTTATACAAAACAAAGAATAACAGAGCCTTCGCAGAAGGCAGGAGAGACTTACTTATGAAGTAGTAACAGGAGACAAGTCCCTCTTTAAGTACACACACACCACACACACACACACCACACACACACACACACACTCCTCTTTGGTCTTTTGAGTTCCCTCATCAAAGGCTGAGTAATTGAGGGTAAGATATGGCTAAAAGACAAAGGTACTGAGGCATTTTGAGAAACGGGTGAAAACGATGTGCCGCTGGCAAAAGAAACAAAAAAAAGTGAAGTGCTTCAGTTTCGTGATAAATAAACACAAAGTTTGAACATAAACAATATGAGCTATCTTATCTTCCATACCTGATGGGGTGAGAACCTATTCTCTTACATTTGTTTCTTTATATACTCTGCAGTTATCGCCCACGTCCTAAATCTGGTCGATACGTCCAGCCCAGCTTGGACAAATATGTACAGGAATCACATCTAAAGACACTCAGACACGCAATCAAACGTGGCATTAGAATGAAGCAGTGTGCTTTCTGTGGGAAATTAAGACGCTCTGATAAAGCTCCTCAACAGATGACGAGATGAGCCACTGCTGACGGATGAGCGTACACCTGTGGCAAGTTTTTCTTGCTGCAACCAGGTGGCGGTACCACTTTGCCCACATCTGGCCCCACAATGGAGAGAGGGAATATTTCTAGTTACATTCACAATCACTGTGGACTTATGTGTAGCTCAAGATGTAAACATTTGTTTATCTCTTTAGATTGTCCGCAGGGAAAATTAAGGCGGCGAAGGTATGGGTTTTTGTTAGAAAGCGGAAGTGACCAGAGGTCCTTAGCAGGCGCTCCGATAGCACATTTCCAGCAGGGGTCGTGGCCGGTTTGTCAGGTCACAGCTGTCGTGGGTTAATGTTTGTCCATCTTGGCCAATGCAGCGCAGCTGACGCTTGCGGAAACCTCGACCGCAGGCCTTGGAGCATTCAGACCATTCTCCCAGAAGCCAGGTGGGGCACGGCTGCGAGGAGCATGACCGTGAAACCAAAGGTCGAAGCTCCTCTGGGCAGTCCCTTGCTGCACGCCCTTGGTAATCCAAACAGACAACCTCTCTTTGTTGCATGCCTCCACCACAGGTTTGGGAACATGGACCCCACTCCCTCAGAGTCCACTCGGCTCCACCAACCTCCCGAATGGCATTGATTGACGGACGGCGACCTGAGCTGTTGCTGGAGGATGAAGCAGTGTTGCTTGGCCTGGGGGAAAAGTAGCTATATTTAACTCGGGGCCTTGGGGCTTCACCTACAGAGAGAACCTGGATGGTGAGGGCTTCTGGGAGCGGGCTGAAGCTTCGAAGGCGCTCCAGAGTGGCAGAAGAGCCACTGTATCGCAACAGTGCACCTCGGAGGGTGATGTCAGTCTCCATGGTCATCAGTTTGTAATCGCCATTCAAGAGATAGGTTCCATCCTGGCGACGCACTGCCAGGTAGCTGTTGTCATGACGACTATTGCCTGGAGCACGCTGTTTGACGTCCACGTGGGTAGCACCAGCAGGGATAGTTACAACATTCTGGTAACCAGGTCTGAAGCAGAGATAAATAAAGAGAAAATGATTTAGACATCCGTGCAGTAGAGGTCTCAGATTAGGAGTTCATGAATTATTGACGTGTTAGAAGTCTACCTGGCATGTTCCAGAGAGCCCGACACCTTTTTACAGGTAGAGCCGTCTCCACCGCACACACCGCACTTATCGAATCGCCGGTTAGACCCTATGACCCGATCACATCCAGCCTTGACACACTGGCCTTGCACACAAACTGAGGTGGAATCTGGGCTGCAGGGTGTCCCGTCGGCCACCTGGGATCAGCAAAGAGACAAAAATTAGGAGTCATGCCTTATGAGACATTTATGTAACAATGAAAAGAACATTGTTCAAGTCGTAGGTCTAGACTAGTATGAGCATGGCTGTGAGACCAGTGAAGACATTTAAAAGGTATGCTGCGAAAACAAACATCCTATTCTGTCTGCTCACTTTAGATTTGAGGACAAAGAAGTATCCAGTCCCCTTGGCTCGGCACACCAGCTTGCAGCGGTCTTTGGGAGAAACTCCAGCATACTTGGGAACCCACTCAACACCTTCGCCTGAACCCAATGACACTTGGGCTGACATGTCGTTGTGGGCCAGACACTGTTCCTCACGAAATGTCAGGCCTGAAACCGAGAAGCACACGTCAAACTTGCTTTGAACACAAGTGTAAAACTCTAACGAGAAACATCAGAAAGGATGATAATCAAGCAGACACACAACTACTGATGTCAAGCCTCTCACCGTTGGTTTCAGGGCAGGCTTCTGTGTTGCAGGAGCGGTACTGGATCCTCTTGCCTTCACAGTACTTGCCTCCATTCTTCGGCAACGGGTTGTCGCAAGCACGGAAAGAATACTGCACTCCTCCTCCGCAGGTTCTGGAGCAATCGCCCCATGGACCCCAGATGCCCCAACCACCATTAACGGGAGTCTAAAAGGCACACACGCATACAACTTTATAGTAAACTGGACTAAAGTAAATTCAGAAGGGTAGCAAAGTAATTAAGTAAGTAAGTTCTTACCTGATAGTCATTGGCTTCACTCTTGCTGAGACACTGTCCAGCCAAGCAGAAGCCAACATCTCCACATGGTGTCCCATCAGCCCAGGGGAAGTTCTTAGTCTGGCACACCAGCAAACCATTGGAGGAGGTTACAGTGCACCAGAGAGCTGCACACGTGGAGCTCAGATCTCGGCAGTGCTGGGACTCTTCTCCAAAGGTCAGGCGACACTGATGGTCGGCATCGTAGACGGTCCCCGGCAGAGGTTGTGGTAGTGGTTGGGGCTTAACTGGCTTGTCTAGGAGACATTGACCATGGCCGTTGTCCAGGAAGGTGGTAACCATGAGGGCAGAGCAGGGAGACCATGGGTCCTTCTGGTCCAGGTTGGACAAGGTGGATGCCATCATGTGAGAGCTCCAGTGGACACCATTCACAACAGAACATAGCTGGGCATCATCATGAGGCATATTGAAGACATGACCTGGAAAACAGAAATTTTAGCACCTTTAATATGAAATGATGAGATATTTTACATGTTTAAAATCTGTTTTTAGCACGCATACCCAGCTCATGGGCCACTGTGAATGCTGCCTGCAGTCCATCGTCCTCTATAATGGAGCAACTTCTTTCAGGGTCGCACACGGTGCCGACATCCGCCATGCCTAAAGTGTCACAGGAGTGGGCCCCACACAGATCCTAAAGAGTCAGAAGCAGAACATTAGCAAACATGTCCATTGACCCATAGTCTGTCTAAACGTCTGTTTGGACCATAGCTTACAGTTCTGGTGAAAAGCACCGCCGTGTCATAGTGCTCCGGGTGGCGATCACTCGAAGGGTTGTGCTGCCGCTGCCACTGGCAGAAGTTGCGGAGGGTCATGGCGGCGTTGGATGACACCTGAGGACCTCGCTCCTCCTCATACACGACCAGCAGCTTCACCACAGCCAGGCTGATGGAGTTGTGGATGCTGTGGTGGCGGTAGAGGCGAGACGCCACTGCCATGATGGTGAGAAGGTACGGTTTGAGCCCAGCGCCGTGGAACTCAGCCATGGACTGGTCGGCCACCAGCATGATCTCCAGGTAGCGAGGAGTGGAAACAAATCGCCTGGTCCTGTGGTGGGCTGAGGACGAAGATACAGAGAGGTCAAACGACACCGAGTTAACCCGGTTAGTCAGAGCAGCCGCGAATCAGTGAAACTCCACCGCATTCCTTTTAAACAAGCCACCTTTAAAGTGTGGAAAAATGAAGTGCTGAGTGAAGTAAATCCTTTCTGGGGAACAAACCCTGTCGGTGCGAGTTGTACCAGGGGCCAAGTTCACACCTCTCAGCCTTTCTGCTGCCTCCACTCCCTTTCCTCCCTCACTCCTCCTCTTTCCTCTGTTGGCCCCTTCTCCCCTCCCCTCCTTTCTCTCTGACAGCTCTGTCAAAAGGTAGCTGAGTCCACCCGTGCTATGCCAGCTGACAGCGGTCTGGCTGAACCGATTCCCAGTGAGCACTTATCAGCTGAAACTCATCTAAAAGTGGTTTAAGCAGAGCTCTAGGATCAAAGACAGGACGTGTGACCTTTAGGGGAGGATTTGGTACATTTAGGTTCCAACTACACAATTTAACTTCATTTAGATGTTTATCTGACAGAAACCAGCTCATCATACCAAAACTGGACCAAATGTGTTATCTACATGCAGTCTGATAAACACCTAGACACGAGCCATTAGAAGTCTACTAAATGTTTAAGATTAGAACAAATCTGACCAACTGGCCATTAGAGGTGATGTAGACGTCTGTTTGAAGTAGACCTCTCACTAAACTAGACATGCTAGTGTAAAAGACAACTAATCAACTTTAGCATTTAGATCTAATTTAGCCTATTTGATGGCCATATGTAACATAAACTGGTTTTATTTCTGCATAAAATCAGATTTTTAAACTTTATTTGGTGACCAGAGACCTCCAGCTGTGATAAAAGTGAGTAGTCACCTGTCTGATGCGCCTTAAAAGCTCCGCGACTGGCCTCCTCCTCCTCCAGATTCCTTGGCACCCTCTCCTCGTCCTCGCTCACCCCGCATTTGGAGCTGCCCTCCTCGGCCAGAGAGGCGCGGCTCCTCCGGCGGACCGTGTGGACCTCCTCGTCCTCCTCTCCTCCCGGGAGGCGGCTGGTGTTCCGCGGCTGGATGAAGTACTCCTCCCCCTGGAAGTAGAACCCTCCCGTCAGCCCGAGGCACAGGTTGAGCGCGGCGGCTGAGTGCTCCTCTCCGTTCACTGTGCCGGAGAAGAAGCAGCCCGGTTCGGCGCCGCTCCGCTGGGGCTCTTGCGCAGGTCTGGACTCGGAGCTCGCCACAACGTGGAAGACGAAGCCCGGGGCTAGGAAGTTCTGATCCGGTTCCAGCTGCAGAACCAGCTGCTTTCCAAACACGTCCAACCGGTACAGCCGCATCTCCGCCTCCTTCTCCCTCTCCTCGGCCGTGAGGCTCCTCCACGGCTCGTTGTCCCGGGACGCGGGGTCCAGTCTGACCGGCACCACTGTGCTCTCCTCCCACACACTGCTCTGAGCTACTCCGACGCACAGAACCGCGATCAAACCAAAGGAAATGCGCGAAAACCACATCATGCAGCAGTGAAATCCAACAAATGAGGAAAAAGGATCAGAATAGAATTTCTAATGAAGTCTGAAAACCCACTTTCCTCTAAGATCTACAGAACCAGAGTCTTTAGGGTTCCAAGAACTGTTCCAAATTACGCACACTACCTACAGAGGAAATCCAGTGTAAAACTCGTGGAGAACACCCTGACTTTTTCTCCAGAGAACTTTTATTTCTAAATTCAGACGCAGGTCCGGTCTGTGCTGACCCGTTTCTTCTCTATCCTTGCAGTCAGATCGGAGCCGGTTTGGTCCTTTATATGGTTCCGCCGTCCCGGGACCACCCCCTTTCTGCTGCGCTCTGTGACTTGAAAAGGGGCCAAATCCCGTGCGCTAAAACGCACCAGCGACCTGGAGCGGTGCCACAAGAATCAATCCCTTTTCCCCCTCCTCCTGCACTTTGTGCATAAGAAACACACAAGAGCAACTCTTCAACCAGCACACATGGATCATTTAATTACTTTTTAGATTTTATGGCCCTGTGGATATCCAATAAGATACATTAAATAGGGAAAAACTCGCCATATGTTTAATTTTAATACGCTTTCTTCGCGATTATATGAAATATCAGCTTGCTTTAGTCTGACATAAGCCAACAGGCGGATCTGGAAAGGTCGGGGAGCCCTCTGTGCCAATAAGCAGGCTGTGGTGCGCCCTTACCGGGTTCCAGCAGCTCCACTGCGGGGAGAAGGAGCACACAGGGGCCGCCGAGTTCTTAAGGTGGAACAGCTTTTCCATGGAGGAGCAGCTGCGCTCTGCTGAAGGCATCCAGAGCCCCAGTCGTCCTGCTTCTCCCCACCCAACCTCTCTCCTGCAACTCCTCCTGTCCAACACGCTGAATGAGGCTCGTTAAAGCACCTGGCAGCTGCTAACACCCAAGCTGCAGTCAACACAGTACATTTCTTTAATATTTTGCCATTTTAATATTTTCCCGGAACTTCTAAGATTGCCTCAAACACATTTCATTTAGTGACGGAATCTTTCTCAGACTAATAATTTACATTTATAATAAACCAATTCAAAAATAAAGGCTTTAAAATAAATGTACCACTTGGATTAATCCAGTTTGTGTGGAAAGATCATAAGAAGCTACCTTAAAAGAGACAACTCCCCAAAAGATCATAATTGCAGGTTTGACGCTTCACCGCTAGGAAGCAGTCGTGTGCTAAGAATGCATCTAAACAGTTTTAGTGTAATGTACAGATTGGGTCAAGAGGTAGCGCCCTTTCACAACATTTATCCTACAATAAAGTTACCCAATGAACGACTGACCACGTGGAGGCAGTGCGTGCCTTGCATGTTGGCGCCAACCACACTAAAAACTTAGGAAATTGGAAAAATGTTTCCTCTTTTATTTTTACATACTTGAATTTGCACAGAAAAAAAAGTTTGATGCCCTAGGCAAAAACATTCTACTTTAGTCCTTGTCTTGCCATTTTTGATCCATCAGATCAAGAATTGACTTTTAAGTTTAAAAAAAAAGTTTTGAGAATTCTGTATTTGTCTCAATGAAGCATTTAAATGTGCAACACCTAGCTTGGTCAGGTGTGATTAAGGAGCAAAAAATTTATAAATCAATGCCAATAAGGTCAGATTAGTATTAGGCCCAATCCTTCATTTCTGTTTGATTTAGATACTATAATTAAACAGTTTTTTTTAGCATTAATTCAACACATTTTTACCGTGACAGATGATCACAGATTTCCAAAGTGACTTTAAAAACATGCAAGTTTACTGATGAGTCAAAAACATCCTAAATCTGTCAATGATAACTTTTTTGGTTCTTTTAGTGTCTTGTTCTGTTCACTTAGATGCGAAAACCATTCAAAAACGAGCAAATAACTTCATTTTAATGTATTTTATATTTTATGTATTTTTTAACCCTTTGGTGCATAATGGTCACTACAGTGGATAGGTACTCAAAATTGTTACTTATTTGTTTTTGCTATTAAGCACAGCTGTTGATGACTTTATTGAATTTGAGCCCCTCCATTTGTACTTCAGTAAGTCAAGCCAACATATTTCATGTTCAGAATGCATGCTGTCCACTGAGGTGGACATGTAATAAATTATTTGTAAATTATAAAATTTTACAAAAAATATTTGTTGAAATTTGTTTCATTCACACCTAAAGACGAATGAAAAAAATTGTTAAAAAAAATCATGGTTGAAGATTTCATAATTCATGCATCAAAGGGTTAATGTATTTTGACATGGAAAATCTTCCTTTTATGCGATTGATGCTCAGATTTGGCTTTTATGAATGCAATCATAGTGACTCATTAAAATGTAGAACCAATAAAACTGACACAGACTCAAAGGTGTTTAAATATATAGATTTTATATACATATATTCATGTGGATGACTAGAAAAGTAAACACTATATTCTTACATAGGATTGTTTCAGCACAGTCATATTTCCTTACTTAAATAGTAATTTCATACGAAATTACTATAATAAATAAAACTCTTGTCATTGTTTCCCCCTTTTTTTTTGAATTCACACATTTCAGTTGTACAAAATATAAATTACAAGTTCAGTGCTGTGTTTCTGTCACTCACGAACCGGCGATTCCCACACTGGAAAAGCTGGAATAAGACTTGGGACTGGAGAATACAAAGACTTAATATTAAGTAGTTGTATTACATGTGTACATTTCTGATTAATATACTTGGATGGGCTGTACAATGTATAGAGTATATGTTGACAACGACATACCGATGCGCTCAGTACATTAAATGATTATCGCAAAATCAATGTGAACAACAAATTGACAGTTTGTCATCACAATATTTCAAATTTTGAACCAAGGTGCACAATTTATTGAAATTTTGGCTCACATTATATTCTAAAATATTACAATATTGGCATGCACAGTATTAGAAAAAATATCATTGTTGCGGTTTCCTTTGGCCCAATAAACAAATGATTTACCATTATTATGATATAAATGACCACAAAACACTGAAAATGTTAGCATCTCAATATTATTGTGAACAAGACGTCAAAACTCAACATCAGGGTATCCTCGTGCACCATATATCAAAAGTCATAATTTTCACGATACTGTTCTGCAAAATATATCTAATTGTTTTGTTGATTGATATATCAAAGAACACAATATATCAAAATGTCAGCGTGTACAATATATTGAAATTAATCTATCGATATCGTTATCAGTATCGTTATGCAATACGTCTGAAATTTTGTTTATTATGATATCAACAGCACAGTAAAAATGTAATTGCACCATCGATGTACAAAATATAACAATTTTATCAGTGTCACAATCAAAATTTACACAAATATCAACATTTTCATTTTTGCGATATTAATGTGTATGATTTATCAAAATTAATCTATCAGTATTGCTATCTATATCAGTACTCAATACATCAGAAATGTAGTTATATCAACACAGAGTAAAATTTGTTATTGCACCATCGATGTGCACAATATAACAATTTTATCGTTATCGCAACTAAATGCGCAGTAAATATCATAAGTCATTGTTATTGCGATATTATTGTGCACAGTATCATTATTGTAAAGGTCTTCAAAAAAACCAAACTATTAATTTCCAAGTTTCGTGCATTTACAATCTGCTTGTCAATCATAAATTTGGCCATTCAGATGAACTTTCACAATGATCACACCTTCTTTAGATGAATAAGGAGCCTGTCACACCCATCTATTTCCGGACCATGGATCCCCGGAAGAACGAAAAAATGAATCTAAGTCAAAGGGGCTAAAAATGCTATTTTCTAATTCCACTTGTTTTGTGCCATGGATTTCACACATGATGTCAGTGAATTTAAAAGACACATTTTGATACCAAGATTATTTTCGAACAGGAGGAAACGCTATTTTAGGTTTTGTGTTAAAATAAGTCCAGGACTACAAATGCGCTTCACGAAAGTGACGTCATCGAACCAGACACAGAGAAAACTGAGGGAAAATGGCTGAAAGTTCAGCAAACTTCCCACAGGAGGAAAGAACCACCATAAATCTGGTCATGTGGTGAGTAGCAGCTACGCTAGGGGAGAGGAGATTATGTGGTGACGTCACATATGTGACGTGCCGATTTCTAGTGTGTAATCATGCTAATTACGAACTTTTACAAGCTGATAAATCTCAAAGTACGTGACAGGCGTGGTCAAAACACCCATCATTACTTTTCATTTAAACTGAAGAACAACATATGTGTGATCCAGGGTGTAGACAAAGCAGATTAGACTCCAGTGTTTTTAGCCCCGTTGACTTGCAGTAATTTTTTCTTTCTTCCGGGACCCATGAGCCACCGGAAAGGGAGGAGACTTAGGCTCTCTATGGTGCTCAAGACGCTAAAGAACACAAAAATTGTTGCTTTAATCGCACTTTATTTAGTTATCCCAATATTAAATATTGCAACAACATTGTTTCTAATATTGTGCAGCCCTAATATAAACATAAATTAATAATCTGTTCATTGAACAAATGTGTCTAAGTGTTGTTTGAAGGAGCCGAGAGAATCTTTGGGTAGTGCACTGACCTGGGTCAAGTATTGTCTTCAGTATATTTCCTACATGGAAGCCAAACAGGCGAAATTTGCTTTTCAAGAAAACATGATAGCCAAATATTTTAACACAAGTACAGGAAGTCAGTTAAAGATCCGTCATTCACGCTGTTGCCTAGTTGTTCGTGAAAGCTTAGGTAATGTTGCCAAGACCACGTTTTTTTATTCCTCATTCAAATAAATGGAATTTTGTTCAATTTTATTGTCTCAATTTAAGTTTGTCTTGGGGAAGACGCACAAACCTTTTTGCCTCTTTTATTGGATTACCAAAATAAAGGTAGTATTGTAGGTAAAGGTGGAGGATTTGGAATCACTGGCCCATCAAAATGACAGAGGAGTTTGTTTCTCCTCTTCAGTACATAAAGAAATGTCTGGTAATGAAGACAGCCTTTATAGTCAAGAAGATTGACACCATTATTAAACTGCATTAAACTGAAGCTTAGAGTTACAGCGTGGCAAATGCAAAAATGCAAAGCGGACAACAAATTCACGAAAACATCACAAATGAAGCAAAGACATTTAGAGAAATTCTACTTTCTGGATGATGCAAAAACAACAAAAACATTTTCAAAAAATGTATATTTTTTCTAAAATATCACATATTTACTTCTGTGGTTGTTCGTGAAATGTCTAAAATCATGTTACTTATTTTGTCAAAAGTAAAACTGTTTTCCAAACACGCCTTTTTGGGACAAAATGTCAAAATATTTATGTACATTTTGAAACTGTGTAGGGTATTTTACTGGTTGATTAATCAGTACATTTTCAGTGGTCTCTAGAGGGACTCAATACCTTAGTTATAACGCGTTCTCTGGGGAAAAAAGCTTCGGTGCGTCTGTTTGTGGAACTAGAAGTGAGCTAAATCAGAGTCGAGCGTCAGACGGCAGGATTTACTCCTGATGTTTGGACATCTCTCCTCTGATTGGATAACAGCAACATGACTCTACCACTGACTCCCGTTGCTCTTCAACATTGATGTTTAATCTCCACAAATAACACAAGCCTGGAGGAGTTCTGCTGTGTGGTGGAGCTGCTAATGCTAACTGCTAGCTTCTGCTTTTTCCTGGAGGCTAAACCCACAACAGCCTTCCCCGTTGTGAGCCAAGATGGGTGAGTCCATAAATGTTAGTGACAGTGAGACGTAGATCTGTCAGGCTTTTCTAATCCTAGAGGTTCACCGTCTGTTTTCTGTCAGAAGCTAATGCAGGAGATCGGTGTAGGAGACTATTCTCATGTTCCGCCTGCATGAAAAGCTCATAGTGACCCATTAGAATCAGTACATATATTCTGATGATACAAACTGTATGTGCATGAAAAAGAAAGACATTATATAAAGGGTGTAGATCAACGTCACACCAAGACAAATTTACACACAACTTGGGCATTGCCCCAAACCTGTGAGTCAAAGTAAATCTCATTTTTGTACAATCATAATTTGTGTCTTTTGGGGAGGAGTTGCCCCTATTTGTTCCTGAAAGGACAATAAAGCAGGAGACAATCAATACACCTGCAAACCTAAAATTGGTCATTGGTGACCATTTACTTACCCTATTTATTCTTGATTATTAGACGTTGTACGTGTTCCTAACTAGACCATAGAAAAACTTTCCTTCCCTTCTTCATGATTTCCAGTTGAATACATCAATGGGTGATGCTAATCCAGGCCAACGCCATGTCCTGTTACTTTCAGCCATAAAACCTCATGAGAAAATTACAAATTCAACTGCAATCAGATGACTGGAATATACCATTTTTTGGCACAGGGATTTGATGGAAAAGGCTTTTCTCAGAGTTAGCTTATAAGATCTTGACAAAGACGGACGATGATCCAGTGAGTCAAATGTTCCAACACGCCTCCAGCACTTTTTTTTTTAAAGAAAAGTACAGCAAATGACGATCCAGGACCCTGATGTTTTTCTGTATAAAACCCGAAACAGAACACTACCAAGTAGTTCCCCATTGCAGGGGTCTTGCCGTGAACAAATTCATGACTGAAGTTGAGTGACAGCAACTCGAGGAAGCGTAAGACAACAGGCATGCCACCATGGGGCAAGACTTGCTAAGCCTCTGGGTTTTGGAGGCTGAAGAAAAGACAATCAGGTATTGTCCATGTAGAAGTTACATGCAGTTTCCGTCATCAGTCATGTCAGGGTGATAATCCTCTGTTCTGCATAGCTTGAAGGATTCCAGGTCATTTTTCTAGCTTATTAGCGAGTCTACCTCGGAATCTCCCAGTGTCTGATTCTGGCGTTCCTCGCCAACATTCACAATCCCGTTTAAGAGTTGATGTCTCAAACTCAATGGTCTATTGGTTCTACATCCAATGTTTCAGATCCTTTCAGACCTTTAGATCGAAACTTCTTCCTTCAAACGTTTTCTTGTCCTCTCCTGCTGGTTCAGCATTTCTTTATCAGACAGTGTTTGAAGGCAGAAGGTCGGGTGCTCAGAATGCAGCCCTTGGACAGTTTACCATCCTGGTCCTTACACTGCACCGTCCGACTCTGCCAGCCAGTATCACAAGTCCTGGAGCACGTCATCCACGGTCCTGTTACCCACCTGGGCCCTGGCGCTGGGGTCGAGGGGCCAGTTGTTGTGGTCACCCCTGGAACCAGAGCAAGGGCTGTAGAGGATGACATAGTGGTGCTAGTCATGGTGGTTCTTGCTGTCATAGCTGTTGTGGTAGTGATCTGCGACGAGATCAGCTTTGGCATTATTTGCGGCTGTGGAGCTGTTCGTCGCGGCATGAAGAAGCTATAACGAACATCAAGGGGCTTTTTGGCATCTGTAGCTAGAATCTGGACCACCAGCGGTTCTTTTAAAGCCCCAGGACCCATGCTGTGGAGCCACTCGTCGTGCTGGCTCCAGCCGCTGTAGTTGAGCAGAGAACCATTGAGCAGGATGATCGTCTCTGAGGTGGAGATCATGAACTTGCCATTTAGGAGGTACTCTCCATTGGGCCGTCGAAGAGCCAGGTAGGCGGTGAAGCGGGTCTGGTCCTTGGCTTTGTGCTGACGGACCTTGATGTGAGTGGAGCCTGTGGGGATCTTCACCACATCAGTGTAGCCTTTACTATTTAGTGAGATAAAGCATAGTCACATCAGTGCTTGACATGCTATGGACCAACAGTGATTAACAGTGAATGATGGGGAATCCAAAATGAAGGAATCCAGACATGGCAGCGTTGTACAACTCGACTAAAGTCTGGCTCTGAAGACAGCCCACTGTGGTATTACCAGAGTTAGAAGTCTTAGGTAAATAGTAAGATAATCTTGATAATCAGCTTGAAATGTCACTTAAATTTAAGAGCTAATCTTCAGTCTGGGCAGCGATTCAGAGGTCTGAGCTTGTAACTTAACAAGAAAGAGATGACAAAATAAACCTCAGTAACAAAGAAAAGTAGAAGGACCATACATGGTTCATTCTGAGCAGTATGTCGGTTTTCATTTAAAGTGGAAAAAACTCCAATTATAATCAACTGTTAAAGTTACCAGTGAGGGATTGAAACCAGTGTCCCACTGGATTGTAGGTGATAAAATGTGGTTGGAAATGGAGGGAGTCTCCAAAATGTCTTGAAACATTTGCAAAGGTTTTTCATTTTCTCATGGGAAACACTAGCCTGGCAAGCCATCCCTGATACATCTGACCATGACCCATAGACAGAGCTTGGCCATAGGAAGGAATCAAACAAGCCACCATCTTAGCCGCCATCTCAGTGGTTCTGTTCTGTCACATCATCCTGCCCACCAAACTGTTAGAGCACTGTGACTGGCCTACCAAATCGTTAGAGCGCTGTCAATGGTCCACTATAATGTTATAGCGCTGTGATTGGCCCACCAAACTGCTACAGAACTGTGATTGGCCCACTTAACTGTTAGAGCCCTGTCACTGGCCCATTAAACTGTTAGAGCGCTGTGATTGGCCCATTAAACAGTTAGAGCACTGTGAATGGCCCACTATGCTGTTATAACTCTGTGATTGCCGCCCCAAACTGTTAGAGCGCTGTGATTGGCCCACCAAACCATTAGAGTGCTGTGATTGGCCCCCTAAACTGTTAGAGCACTTTGACTGGCCCATTAAACTGTTAGAGCGCTGTGATTGGCCCATTAAACTGTTAGAGCGCTGTGATTGGCCGAGTGCTGTGATTGCCGCCCCAAACTGTTAGAGCGCTGTGACTGGTCCCCTAAACTGATAGAGCACTTTGACTGGCCCATTAAACTGTTAGAGCGCTGTGATTGGCCGAGTGCTGTGATTGGCCCACCAAACTGTTAGAGCGCTGTGATTGGCCCACCAAACCATTAGAGTGCTGTGATTGGCCCCCTAAACTGTTAGAGCACTTTGACTGGCCCATTAAACTGTTGGAGCGCTATGATTGGCCCATTAAACTGTTAGAGCGCTGTGATTGGCCCACCAAACCGTTAGAGCGCTATGATTGACCCCTTGAACTGTTAGAGCACTTTAATCGGCCCACTTAACTGTTAGAGTACTGTGACTGGCCCATTAAACTGTTAGAGCACTTTAATTGGCCCACGAAACTGTTAAAGCACTGTGACTGGCCCATTAAACTGTTAGAGCGCTGTGATTGGCCCCCTAAACTGTTAAAGCACATTAATTGGCCCACGAAACTGTTAAAGCACTGTGACTGGCCCATTAAACTGATAGAGTGCTGTGATTGGCATAACACAAAACTGGTCAGGCCAATGGTAGACCTGCTGAGGCTCCAGTGGAGCGTGGCTAGACCAACATGCAGAGCAATATTATTTAGCTTTGGCCACTGAAACCCAGAATAAAATAGTGACAAGTTGATTGCAGGCCTCCCTTGTCAGTCTAGTCTCTGTGAGCCAGATAGTGGATGAAGTGTGAAGTAACTTTAGGATGAGTTTGCAACCACAATAAGAATAAAATTACACATTAAAAATTCTTCATATGTCGAAAACCTTTTGCATGTATGTGCCCTGCATGACCTGGTGCAACAAACGTGCACCGTAGAACATGAATATACATCGGAAAGATGAAAACTCTTAATTCAATAAAAAGTCCCATTTGTTTCCATGAAGAAGGCGTGGCCTAAAACTTGTACTGAAACCAGCCAATAGAGGCACCATTTTTTATTCCAGCTTTAACCCCGGGGTTCTATAGTAAAGCAGAAAACAAAAGCACTGTCTAGTTTTACTATGTTGAATTTGCTTAACGTGACCTCTTCTAAAGCTGTAGTGTTTTAGTAGTGACACCTACTGTTCGGAAAGGGGACTGCATCAAGTGTGAATCTTTGTATAAATGGTAACTCTTGATCCTCCTCTTGAGCAATTCTTTAAACTGAAACCAGATTTATAAAATAAAGGACACACTGATGTCAGATCCTCACCTCTTCTTGGTGAAGTTCCCAGCTACCCGTACACAGCCCGTGCTGTCGCCTCCACACATTCCACATTTATCAAACTGGAGCTTGGAGCCAATGATGCCGTCACAGCCTGTACGAACACATTTCCCTTTAACGCACACTGAGCTGCTGTGAGGGCGACACTCTGTCCCATCAGCCACCTGTAGGGAGATGTTAAACCCATCAAATTCTCCCCATTTATCAACACACCGCGCCGCGCCTTAGTGGTGCCCTACCCTTTGAGAGAACACCACATAGTAGCCCGTTCCTTTTGCCCTGCAGGTTAACTTGCACACATCTTTAGGAAGAACTCCCGCGTATTTAGGCACCCACTCGACAAAAGTCTTCACCCCTTTTGGATCGGTCTGGGGACCGTTGCGGACCTCACACTGCTCCTGACGGAAACTTTTACCTGAGGAGAAAAGGCCACCATTAAAGACGATGCTGCCACTTGTCACACAGTTTAGTGATCGAGCCTTTCACTCACTCAAAGCCGTGCATGGAGCGACGTTGCAGGATCGATAGATCGCTCTCTTTCCGGTGCAATAGCGCCCGTTGTTTCGAGGTGGCGGGTTGTTGCACAAACGCTGGGCAAACTGCACCCCGCCTCCGCAGGTTCTCGAGCACTGCCCCCATGAACCCCAGGAACTCCAGCTGCCGTGGTTGGACACCTTGGAGATGGAGAAGTCCAACGGAGATGAACGAGGGAGATGGGCGAGTGAATGTGGAGAGGGAAAACAGCCACAAAGATGAAAAAATGAGACTACAAAGAGGAAAAGAACTCTCATCATCATGTGATGATAGCTCAGTCGGTGTGAATCTCACACGGCCTCCCGCAGGAAGGATACGTAGAGTTTAACGTTTTATGAGACGAAGTAGATTTGCGGTGATATAGTTCAGCCCTCCCACTCCTTTTATGATAGAAACTAAAACACTTCTTTCCGTCATAAAAGCTCCATAATCTTCAGTCTCACTGCAAGACGTAGAGAAGGATAAAAGGTCTATTATGGGGGGGGGGGGGATGCTCCTGATGCCTTTTGACTTTGAATATTCTTTTGTTTCTTGATACAAATGGTTTGGAGAGCTTTCCAGGATGATTTGGCCAAATTTAATTTAGTTCTATTTAAATAAGACCAGATGGGGCCACACAATCAATTCTGTCGCTTAACTCATTCACTGCCATTGACGACTGAAGTCGTCATTTGCATTTTTTTTACTGTGTGAGCGTCAGAACGAGTCCCCGCGTCGTGAGAACAAACATCCCAGCTCTGAAGCCGATCTTCATCCGCGTCCGTCACACGTCACATGATCAGGAAGCAGAAAATCCACGTGTTAGGAGATCGTTTTGGCCCGCTGCTGTAAAAAAAGTGAGGCGCGAACCGGAAAAGCTTCTGCGAACACAATTCGACAACGGATTATGAAAGAACGGATAACGCTCTAAACACGCGGATTCTTCCTGATGTAAGAGGTGAGTCTCCGCTTTGTTTCGGTTGTTTTGGCGTCAACAACACGTCTGCTTTTGATTTCTTTTCCTTTTGTTCGTCTTCTAACTCCCCCAGTCCCTCTTACCGAGTAGTGCTTCTTGCGGGTCTTGTCCACACACTTCCCTTGCAGGCAGATGCGTCCCTTCCCACAGGGCGTCCCCTCCACCGCTGGAAGCTTCTTGGTCAGACACACCATCTGTCCATGGCGGATCACGGCGCACCACAGCCGGGAACAGACATCCATGCCTGGGCAAACGGTGTATTCGGGCCCAAAGGCCAGCCGGCACTGGCGTACAGCATCGTAGCTCTGACCCGGAAGTTCCTCCGATCCGAGGAGGGGCTGACGAGGAGTGTCGAGGAGACACTCAGCTGGTGGGACACAGAGAGAACTTCCCGTTTCAGACACACAGAAACAGCAACCACAAGGTTTCAGGAGGGTTTTGTTCACATTTACAATCCTGTGTAAATGACAAATAAATGTTTTATCTATTGTAGAGAACTTATCAAACATCAGTTTGGTGAAACTGAGTCCATTTTAGACCAGATTGACAAGCTAAAGGCTAGTCGTTACCCTGGCCAGAACCAAAATGAATTTCAGTCTTTACAAGACGACTTCAAATCTCCAATAGTTGTGGTTCATGCATATACGGGCAGAAATGTAAAAATTCCCACAGGAAGTTTCTCAGGCTGCCCAGGAAGTGCTACAGCTAGCTCTTGCACATGCACATAACCACAGAATTTTATGTAAATAACTGATACTGATGATTTTATAATAGATAACATTTTATAAAATAAAAACTAAAATTTTGATGTTAGAGTCTTTTAAAAATGACAGCTCTCCACTTTGGTCTTGGTTCTTGTTAATTAGCGTGTAGATACAGACAGAACCAATCTTCATTTCTTCAAACTGAGGCTGTCCAAAAGAGACATTTTCAGGAAATAAGATGCAAACAATTTTTTGTAAAAAAAACAAACTTTAATCATATTTCAGTTTACACTTATTATTTCTATTGAACTCTGTGATTATTTGCAAATGCTAATATCAGTGGTAGCAGCTAGCTGTAGCGCTAGTAGCAGTTTCATCATATTTCTGCAAGAATAACAGCGATGGGAAGTTGATGGCACTAAAAACTGTTTACTTTGAATTGTTGTCACCAATCGGTTTCATTTATTTCAATTTTGGATCATTTTTAAGATAGCAGCAGACCACTTTTGTGCTGGATTTTCTATTAGCTTGTCGTTAAGGTCATCTGAGGTTGTTCAGAGTATCTACAGCAGACACGAACTGCTCCTATATCCTGTTTGAAACTGGTTTGGTGGTTATCAAATAACAGAAAAACTATTTAGGACACTTTTTAGACCATTTAGGATTCTTGCACAGGATTGAGGTGCAGCATCAGACCATAATAATCTCGTGAAGCTACACAAAAATGAAAACTTTAAAGAAGTGAAACATGGTGTATGGCTTTAGTCTCAATAAAAATCCTGGAGCAACTGGAGGAGACGCTGCCAAACCTAAAATTATACTGTTGGAACATGAATTATGCCTAAAGCCTTGGAAGTGTTGAGCAGTGTCAACAGCAGTGCTTTATGACTGCCATGAATGACACTGCTTGATGAAACTGGAACACAAAGCATGAGTCATTTTGATCTTTGGCTGCACCGCAGCTACACTCTAAATAAGTACCTATTAATAGAGATTATGGCTTTAAATGAAAGTAATCTGTGCTCCTGTTAGCTGTAAAAATCACATAGACGCGGCCAGCGAGAACACAGTTCCTGGAGCTTTTACGTGGGTACTGTCTCTCACCATTGCCGTCGTCAAAGAAGTCGGTGATGGTCGCTGAGGTGCAGCGGCTCCAGGGTTTGGAGGCATCGATGGAGGTGAGGATGGAGGACATGAGCCGCTTGTCGCTGTTCACGCCGAAGCGCTCCTCGCAGAATTTTGAGTCGTCGTGAGACAATCCGAGCAGATGACCTGACAGACGCAGAAAGACATTTAATATCAAATCTCTGGAAGGTTGCATGAAAGTTTCTGCAGCCAGAACCCCAAACTGCACAAAATCCTTTGATTCCAGCGTTTCAATGCAGGTTTATTTCTTAAGAAAGAGGCAAAACATTTTATGCTCCTTTAGTTTTTGTTTGTTCCATGGAGAAGTTCAAGTTCAAAAGCTACCGCCCTTCTGACAGGACTTGTCCTGGATGTGTGCATGCAGAAAGAACGGGAAAAGAAAACATGGCGAGAGTTCAGATTATGACGACAGCTGAGCGCGTCCCGGCGTCATCATGTCGTTGTGAGCACGTGCGGATCAGTGCCCACCTATTTCATGGGCGACGGTAAAGGCGGCGTGAAGCCCATCGTCCTCTATGACGGCGCAGCTTCTCTCTGGGGAGCAAATGGTGCCGACATCAGCCATACCCAGGGTGTCGCAGGAGTGGTGGCCACAGAGGTCCTGAAGGAAGAAGAGCAGAGCGCCTCAAGAGTAAACACGCGTTCATCAGAAACATCTTTTAATCCAAGCTTCTAAGAGAAAAACTGAGTCGGCAGATTTTTCAGTCCAATTTTTTTACTCATGCAAAACTCAATAAGAGATTTATTTAGCCCAACAATGAACAATTCTCATTGACGTTGCTAATAAAACGCATTTAGTCTCTGTGTTCTAATCAAAGTCGATGATGCCATCACTAAAGGCCTGTTTGGTCTTTTAAGGCAACAAAAGAGTTTTTAACAGCCCTCTGCTGACCAGAAACTACACTTAACAGTTTTGGGGTTCGGGGTAGGATCTCTACCTGCTTTATGGCAACAGCTAAAGGCAAGCAGCTAGGATCTGAGTTTGCTGAGCATCAACAAAAAGCACAAGAACAAACTTTGCCTGTTTTGTTGGCATCATGGCGGAGCTTGGAGTTAAAAGTAAGAGAGTAATGTCTATGGAGGTGCAGCAAAGAGCTAAAACCAGAGTGAACGTCGACGCAACCTACGCTAGTTTAACTCATTCACTGCCAATGACGACTAAAGTCATCATTTGCATTTTTTACTGTGTGGGCATCGGAATGAGCCCCCGCACCTGGAGAACAAACATCTCAGCTCTAAAGCCGATCATCCGCAAACGTCACACGTCACGTGATCAGGAAGCAGAAAATCCATGTGTTAGGAGATCGTTTTGGGCTGCTGCTGTAAAAAAAAAAGTGAGGCGCGAACTGGAAAAGCTTCTGCCGATCACAATTCGACAACGGATTATGAAAGAATGGATAACGCTCGAAACACGCGGATTCTTCCTGATGTAAGAGGTGAGTCTCCGATTTGTTTTGGTTATTATGGCGTCGACATTATCCTAGTGCACAACGTTCTGTGACTCTTAAAAAAACAGTAAAAATAGTGAGAAATGCTGGCAGCGAAGGTCTTTACGATCAGGAAACGGCTGGCAGCGAATGAGTTAAAGGAGGCTATGAAATCACAGACTGATGATGGCCTGGCTTTGTTGCTGCTGGACTTGTAAGTAATATTTTTGTTTAGCATTGTGGACCTTTTAACTTTGTGGCTTTTTAAGTATCAGTTGGAACGGATAAAGCTCCAAATGCGTGGATTCTTCCTGATGTGAGAGATGAGTCTCCGATTTGTTTTGGTTGTTATGGCGTCGACATCATCCTAGTGCGCAACGTTCTGAGACTCTTAAAAAAACAGTAAAAGTGGTGAGAAACGCTGGCAGCGAAGGGCTTTACCGATCAGGAAGCAGCTGGCAGCGAATGAGTTAAAGGAGGCTATGAAATCACAGACTGATGATGGCCTGGCTTTGTTGCTGCTGGACTTGTAAGTATTATTTTTGTTTAGCACTGTGGACCTTTTGACTTTGTGGCTTTTTAAGTATCAGTTGGCTCTTGTAAAGCTGGGCGTTTGTGCATTCAGCTCCATCTCAAGCTGTAGGAATTCCTTGCAGGGCAAAGTTCAGGAGTCATGTTTTCACACGATACGACCCAACGCTCAGACGCAAACTGACTGATCACACTGTATGTGCGGTAGCAACACGTCGGATCTTAAAATAGGTTGTTTTTATGTAAAACGTTGGACCCTTGAGTCTAAAAACCCAGAAGATCCAGAGGCTGTTGTGCTGTTATTGGTGTCTGTTGTCCTTGCGGCTTGCCGTACACGACTATATGCAGGAGTTCATTGGGGTTGAAGGAGGGAAACAAATTAAAGGTAGTAAACAGAGACGACGTGTGGACATGGAAGCAGCTGGGTAGCTGTGCTGGTGCGTGCACTTTCTACACAGTTCTGGTACATTTGGGTTGCAGTGTGGCTTCAACTGTGTGATCGTGCGTGTTAATCACTTCCTGTTACCACCTGTAACGACACAACCCCAACCCTTTGTAGTGCAGATTTTGTAATTTCCCTCCAATCCTGAAATTGTTTTTGTGGCTTAAAATCAAACAAGCAAAAACATTTTTTATCAGGTGATTTCTAGAACCGATACCATATGCCTGATGTTGTTCCCCGTTTCCCTACCCCCCCCCCCCCCACCACCACCACCCCTTTCGGTGAGTATCGACCCTCTCTTTGATCCCTCACATGCTCATGTAGCCTCTCTGAGAGCAGATATCAATCGGTTAATCATACCAACACGTCGGTGCACACCAGCCCCGTGCACGCTCACTCACATAATGTAACAAGCTGAAAATGCACATTTAGTCTAAAGTATGTGCAAAAGAGCAGGCACATGCGCTAAGGTCCAGCCGAGAGGATGAATCATCACGTGAAGTGGTGCTGACAGGCCCACTGGGTGGTGTGTGAGAGGGTGTTTACCCACTCTAGGCTGATCAGTTTTGGGACAAACCCTCGTGTTGTGCACTCACACGCATGACCGACTGGGTGGGACCACCTTTCTCACACACACTCATGCACACACACACACACACCCTCAGATAATCATATTTAGGTAGATACATGCACATAGAGAGGCTATAGAAACGCTGACATAGACACTAACAACACACGTGCTCATTAACTGTACAGGAAGACAGCGGGAGCTGTTGTCAGCTGACTGCTGGACACACGAGAAGAAAACAAAGGCCGATTATGGCTGCATGGACGGCTGCAGAGAGCCAGGCCGAACTGAAGTTTCTTTTTTCCTTGTTTGTGTGCAGACATGCATGAAAACTGTTGGGCAAAGCTTCTTGAAAAGTTTCCCTTTGCTGTTTTTCTTTCACGGATTTCACAACGTGAGAAACAAACCTCTCCTCCAGCAGGTCGGCTGAAAGAAAGAAAGGAAAATGGGAAGGATGGGAGGGAAACACAAATAAGTTCAAGTATCAGAAGCCAGGGGAAAGGATGGAGTGATGCCGGATACTGAGGAGAAAAAGCAAGAGAAGGAGAGCTTACTGTAATGTTGGCTGAAACAACAGAACAGGTGTCTGTAGAGGTCAGGACTCCATCGCAGCTGTGCTTGTGCATGTGTGAGGTACAAGACCACTTGAAATCTAAGCCAACACCGGTGTTAAACAAACAGGGCCAGACACACACACACACACACTCAGAAGTCCCTCACGCTGAGAGTTTAGCTTTTAAATCCACTGCGGGCTGACTTTAGCAATCCCGGAAAAGAGCAGACAAAGAGACTGCAGAAGACAACACAGATTCATCCCAAAGATACATAACAGCGTCTACTTGGGTCCTTCCGTTCAAAATCAAAATTCTAATGTATAAATAAAGTACAATAAGAAGATGAACACGATTTCCCCTGACGAGGAAGAGTGACCGATGAAGACTTCACCAAGTGGAAAACGTTTGCACTTATTTGCTATGAATTAATCAGAAAGCTCCAGTCTAAAGTTTGATCCTGGAAGTGACTTTATTCTTCATCCGTTAAGTCCTGCAGATCCTTCTGAGAAAACCTTCCTTTCTTCTGTGACTTTTGTCCCTGTTGTGTCTGTGATGAGATGCTAAATGAGTGCTAATTTTTCCAACCTGATGCCTTTCATGGGCACGTTTGCACCGCTCTTTAAAAAGTTTTCACTGGCTATCACGTGTTGCACCCTACAAAGCAGCAGCGATTTACCATGGCTGCATGAAAATCAATCAAACGAATAATAGATTAAATGAAGCTGCTGCAAGAATGTTTCTGAGCACGCTGACTGGAGTAACAGGCAATAAGCAAGGACTCGGAGGCCGCCAACAGGGCGGCCGCGTCAGTGATGTCGACATGATCCCAAGCCCTATAGCTTATGCTAACAATAGCTTATGTTAACAATGGGAAGATAGAAACCCAATAATAGAAAGAACTTTTACTTTTCAGCTAAATCTGTTTAGCCACATTAATAATAGTTTTTACTAGCCTAGAAAGGCCATGCTCCATAGGGAGTCTAACCCCAAAATTCCACTACCTCCGCTCCGGCACGAACTCCGCAGCAAAATCGGTCCCGTTGTAGTCAATCAGAGCTGTTCCACTACTGCGGCCGTGCGGCGCAGTGGAGTAGCCCCTGGCTGCATCCCGGAGATCGGGGCGGGGCTAAATGTGGGCGGGGTTAAACGTTTAGAGGTGGGTGGAGACAACTGTTTGACTCCTGCCCCTCTCTCAATGTAACCAGGAAACCGCGAGTAGCCCCTTTCTAAGGATTAGAAAGCCCTAAAAACCCACAAAACTCATGTAAAGCATAACATTGGTAATTAAATGACTTATTTGCTGGATGTCATAATAATTTTAAAGAGCAGATAATTACAGGCTCCATTTTTGATCCAATCTGTTCTGATATTTTTATTCTTTTTTCTACTTTTGTATGGTATGTGTATTTTATAGCACATAGGTATTTGTGTCTTTTAGCTAAAATAGGTACTTTTGGTACCTCTATAAAAGGTTCAGGCATTTGATAGACTATTCTTTAAACCTGTCAAAACCATTTTAATAGTTGATTTTATCAATGCCGCCTTTATTTTAATAGTCATTTCCCAAGTGAGTGTAAAACAGTACAGACACGGGTAAATTTGTTGTACACTCAGTTATATCAGCTACATTAAGAGGACCAGAGACTTAAATTGTGCTGATACTTCTTAAAACATGCCAGGGTTTGAGGCGGGGTGGTGAGACATTGTGTGAGACACCCAAGAATGCAGACTAAATTTTTCAGAAAAGGTAAATTTAATAGAGCAAACAGCCAACACAGGAATAAAAAAAAAAGTACAAACAAATGAACCAAAAAGCACACAAAAAACAAGAGAACCTCCAAAAAAACAATGTGAGGAGGAAAAAGAATGCAAAAACTGTGACACCGCTGTACTATGGCATTTCAAAGCCAGAAAACACCCTCATCTTCCTTTTTTCCTCAATTTCTCTGCAGAACTCCTCATAGTCGGACTGAAAACTAAACATGAACAGGAACGGTTCCCTGCAATCGTTCATCTCCTGTTCATCTAGGCCATCACAGAAGCATAACCTCTCCACTGCCCTCCGGCAAGCTTCCCTGT